TAGATCTAGATCTACATGCACATGAAACATCAATAAAACTAACCAATTGTTCACTAAAATCAAGAAACATTGATCAAATAAAGGTATGATCTTGTTCCTCTACCTAATTTACCCTAGTATATTCAAAACTTGGGTCTAATTTGCTTCATAAGTAGCTCAAGCACCATAGAAGAGAGAGAAAAGCAAAACTCTAATTACTCACTAACCAACCATTAAAACTTCAAAAAAAGGTGTGGAATAGCATTTTCTTATCTTCTACAACCTCTCCACCAAAGGATTTGAGACCAAAACCTTCCCCCCTTAGCAAAGCAATTTTTGGGAGGTGCCCAAGGCCTCCCTACCTTTTTTCACGGGTTGGAGTGAGTGACCCGAGGAGGAAAAAGGAATTGCAGGTATTTATACGTGGGCCATTTGTAGGGGCGGCTGGTGATTGAGCCACCCCTACAAATCGCAGGTATTTATACGTGGGGCATTTGTAGGGGCGGCTGGTGATTGAGCCGCCCCTACAAATCGCAACACCGGGGGCAGCTGGTGAGTGAGCCACCCCTACAAATCGACCCATTTGTAGGGGTAGTTGGTCTCGTGGGTCCTGAGCATGCCCACTATAGGGACGACTCCATCACCAGCCGCCCCTATAAAAAAATTACCCCGTTGCTACAAACGTTTTTTGTAGTAGTGATTCTTTTTTTTGCATTGGAGATACCAACACTTAGAGAAACCTTGTTCGCATATAGATAGAATTTGTGTAGGTTTTTATAAGTGAATTGTAGCCTTAGGTTTTAAGTGACATAATTCGCCCCCTCTTAGGCGTCATTGTCCCTTTACCAAGCACATCTAGATTAACATCTACTTTGTTTGTGAAAGGTGTTTTTTTGGACAAGTCCAAGTGTTGCATGTTCCGTCCTCTCACCAATCTACGGGTATTATGATCAAAGGCTTGCATGTAAGTTGATTACTGAGTTTAAGTTTAGTCTTGCGTCCATGATCCTCCCGCTTTGACTTTGGATGTGTATTACACATGTATATGTGTTTTATACACATTGACTTATAATGCAAGCTATACAAAAAGTCACTTGATCTAAGGGGTACAAGGGGTTTCCCTAATTCTCTGCAAAAACAAAGGAGGAATTTCCCCTAATGATTAGACTTGTATTAATAATAAAAGCAACAAGTTTTTACATAGAGGAAAAAGAAGAAAAACAAAGAAATTACACACATCCTACTAACCATTGAGGTTTCTCTATCTTAACAAGCAAGAATGCAAATTTGATTAAGAATTGAGCCTAGCTCAACCGGTTGGGTGGGAGGTGTGGTCATGCACCCAACCACCCGGGCTCAAGTTCTCCTCTTGCCTTGAATTTGGGTGCCTATATTTTCTCTTCTTAATTAATGAAAAATGAAAAATTCATCCTATGTTGGATCACATTTTTTTAGACCTAATTGACTTGGGCAGGGATGGCTGTTCACAGTTCAGACAGTGAGTTATTAAATAGCATGAGCTTAGATTGCGATAACTTTGTTGTCTTGACAACCAATGTTAGCCCAATCGCAGGGGGGTCGTTTGGTCATCTTTCCAGTCTTTTAGGACACCACCATCATCATTGAGCTGCATCCTCATTTCATACAATGCTGTAACTATGGATAAAACAAAGTTTATTTGCGGGTTTGTGAGGTAGATGCAAGGGAGAATTTTTTTCTTTTTTAAAAAAGGGAGCCAAAATTGGTGAAATGCTTCGGATTGACAGAAAACTACCGATGCTCGATAGATGTGGTTTTATCTACCTTGAAAGGAAAAAAAATAGTAATCAAGCGAAGGGATTGGACAGTTGATATGCACCATTCTTGCTTCAGAATCTATCCTATGAATTTCTTCTAGAATTTTAAACTGAAACATTTGACTGGTCACTTGTAAAAAAAAATGGACCTATCATTTACTGATAGACACTTTAGTGTTCAGAGTCGAATTCACAGTTTAAGTATGTTTGTTGATTAGTACTCCCTCCGTACCAAAATAACCGCTCTTCTCACTTTCCAAAGAGTCAAATGTTTTTAAATTTGACCAATGATATGTAAAAAGGTACGCATGTTTATCATGTGAAATAAGTATCATTAAATTGATAGTAAAATATAATTTCATAATTAATTTATTTAGATATATAAATATTGATATTATTTTCTCCATACTTGGTCATATTTTTTTTAAAAATTGACTCACCGAAAAACGAAATATGCACTTATTTTAAGATGCAGGGAGTATATTTGATGCAGCAAAGAGATATAAATCAGTAAAGACCTTACGTACCTTGGTAGTCAGATGTAGCAAAAGATTGTAAGAAGCTCAATAAGACTAAGGGGGTGTTTGGTTCTTTAGTCACTCCTAAAATTTATGTCACATCAAATGTTTAGAGGCTAATAAGGAGTATTAAATATAAATTAATTATAAAACCAATTACATAGATGGAGACTAATTTCCGAGACGAATTTTTTAAGCCTAATTAATCTATCATTAGCATATGTTTACTGTAGCACCACGTTGTCAGATCATGGACTAATTAGGCTTAAAAGATTCGTCTCGCAAATTAGTCGCAAGTTGTGCAATTAGTTTCGTAATTAGTCTATATTTAATACTTCATGTATGTGTCCAAACATTCGATGTGACAGGAATTTTAGGAGGAGGGGAAGGAACCAAACAGGCCCTAAATCGAAAGCCAATAGCTTCATGCTTTCTGAAAGTATCCTCTGTGTGTTTTGCTTTTCAGAAACAGAACCACAGTCAGTGCACTATAAATCTGTTTGCTTGATAGAGAGGAAGCAATTTAGTAAACCAAACAGAAAACAAAGATGGAGTATAACTCTATATGAAAAAGAAAACAAAGAAGAAGGTGATCCATACTTGTATATATGTGAACATGCAAGGCAGAGTGGCAGGATTCAAGAACTTAAGTGGACTGAAAAAGGAGGTGTAGAAATTTTTGTAGACTGGAAGAAGCCACTCTCGCCGGTCCTGCTGAGCTGCTGAAGGCTGAATCAGCGCGTGTTTAGTTACCACACCAAAATCAAAAAAGTGCTACAGTATTCATCACATCAAATCTTGCGATACATGCATGGAGTATTAAATATAGACGAAAAAAACTAATTGCACAGTTTGGTTGGAAATTGCGAGACGAACGTTTTGAACCTAATTAGTTCATGATTGAACATTAATTACCAAATAAAAAACAAAAGTGCTACAGTAACCCAACTTCCGAACTTCCCAAACTAAACACGGCATCAAAGGTACAGAGTAGAGACTTTTAACCGGGGAGGTTGACCGGAGGACGGTGACCTTGGAGTCTCCTAGGTACGGTACGGCCGTCCGGGATGTAGACTCGTAGCACTGCAGAGGCGGGGTTTGGGCCTTTGGAGCCTGTGAACGGACTTGGCCACCTGGAAAATTTGTAGAACTTGACATATCCTGGAAAATTTGTTTTAGTGGAATTAGTATCACCTTGACTGTTTAAAATGGGTTTGATCAGCTTTATAATCTTTTTTCGTCTCCAAATGTAGAATCTCCATATTAATTCTTTTACATGAAGTGAGTGTTAAAAATGTAAGAGGCATATTATACGTATAGGCTCATTCCATATGGGAGCTGGGCCATACATAATTTTTGGATAGGTGTTATGGATAGTACTCAGAATCAAACCAAAAAATAAGGACGGCACGTCTCTCCAACCAAATAGCGAAACTAGGACTATTCCATCCTATAAATGGGATCATCCCGTCTCCTCTCGTCCCTAAACCAAACTCAACCATAAATTGTGAAACATCTCCCGTAGTGCAAGTGAATAGGAGCAAGTGCAAGAAGCTTTTTCTTTGTAGATGAAAAGAAGATTGTTAGGTGGTTTTAAGTTGTATCTTTGAGTCTGAGACTATATGTTGCTTAGAATATACTAGATCCCATTCTTGTTTTCTTTTTGATACGGAGTACTTCATTATTTTGTAATGACTATGTACCACCGAGTTACAGAGGCTAGAGCTTTATTTTATTGTAAATGAAACTTCCTCCATCTGAAAAGTATGAACGATTCAGGGTCAATCTCAGAGTCAATTCGCTAGAATTTTTCAGATTCAGAAAAATTCGTTCTTGCTACAACTCAGAAACTTCCTCCATCTGAAAAGTATGAACCATTCAGGGTCAAATCCACTTTATTTTATTTTATTTTATTTTAAATTCATTCGCTTTGGTCGTTGAGTTGCGCAACACCTGTTGAGTGACCAAATCGCTGCACAATTAAGGGGGTGTTTGGTTCTTTAGTCGCTCCTAAAATTTATGTCACATTGAATATTTAGATGCTAATAAGGAGCATTAAATATAGATTAATTACAAAACCAATTAAATAGATGGAGGCTAATTTCGAGACGAATTTTTTAAACCTAATTAATCTGTCATTAGCATATGTTTACTGTAGCACCACATTGTCAAATCATGGCTTAATTAGGGTTAAAAGATTCGTCTCGCAAATTAGTCGCAAGTTATGTAATTAATTTCGTAATTAGTCTATATTTAATACTTCATACATGTGTCCAAACATTCGATGTGATAGGAATTTTAAGAGGAGGTGTAGTAACCAAACAGGCCCTAAGTCGAGATGACAAATGTGATGTCATTGGACAAGGTATATATATATATATATATATATATATATATATATATATATATATATATATATATATATATATATATATATATATATATATATATATATAATAATGATGTCACCATGGGCAGTTTACACCAATTATGACTAACACGAACCAAAAATTTGAACAAAAAAATTTCGCAACCAAAAACCAATGCGGCATGGTTCTGTTGTGTCTTGCTGTACGTGCCACACGCATCTACGATCTATCTTAAATTTATGTACACATTAATCTCTCCTTTTTGTTGCTTCTCTCCCAACTGTACGTGCCAATTGTCATGCTAAATTTGCTAATTAACCATGAGAGCTACTACGCGCCTACGCCCCTCTCTCCTTGACGTAGCTGGACGTCCTCCGGTGCCGCCGCAGCGCGCTAATGTGCGGCCCGAGCTCGCCGCCGTCCCGGTCCCGGTCCCGGTGCAGCAACACGTCAGCGTGGACCGCCGAGTTGGGGAACTTCTGCCGGTGCCGGTCCTGGTGGCTCATCTTCTCCTCCACCGTCGTATCTATCGTCACGTCAACCTTCTTCTCCCCGTCAACAACCTTGCCTTCGCCACTGTCGTTGCTCTTGCCGTTGCCATCTTCCACTACGACGGTGAACACAAATGGGCCGATCTGGAGGTAGTCGTCCATGTCCAGGACGGGCTCTAGGGCCTGGACCACCTCCCTCATGGTGGGCCTCGACTTCGGGTTCTGGCTCAGGCACTTGTACGCCACCACGGCGGCGCGTTCGGCGCCTCGGCACGAGTACTGGCACTCCATGGCCGGGTCCATGACCCGGTGGAGCTTGTCGGGCTTCCTGAGGTAGGGCCTAGCCCAGTCCACCAGGCTCTGCTCCCTGGGCCGCCGAGCCCGGTCGACGGACCGCCGGCCCGTCAGGAGCTCCAGGAGCACCACCCCGAAGCTGTAGACGTCGCTCTTGGCGGTCAGGTGGCCCGTCATGATGTACTCCGGCGCCGCGTATCCGTTGGTCCCCATCACGCGTGTCGTGACATGGGTCGCGTCACCCTGAGGCCCGTCCTTGGCGAGCCCAAAGTCCGATAACTTGGTGTTGTAGTCCTGAAAATCCAAAGAACCAGATTGAGTTAGGCAAAGATCGCATTCGTCATAGGTCACAATTAGTGACAGTGAGGTACTGCATGCTTGGATGCTAAGACAACGCCCCGGCCCTCTCGGACTATCACTGTCAACATCAAGCTGTTTAGGCTACTACTAGTGCTTTGATTTGGTGCCAAGAAAAATAATGCAGTGCAGACTCTTCTTGTTAACTATACATGTAGCCATTACTAGGTAGTGGACTGCATGAGCTGGGATTGATATATAGGAATTGGGCATCCAAGAAACTTCCAAGTTGCAATCATGCATGCCGGGGGCCGGAGCTGGTCTTCTATCGAACCCAGCCAACAATTTTGGAACGCGTAGCAGACGACTTTGCCGTCCACCACCTATAGACGATTCAGGGTCAAATCTCTCGAAAAGTGGATTTGTACTGAGCTTTTTATGAATTCCGTAGCGAAGGAATTTTCTGATTTTCAGCTCGTTGGTTTGGTGGTAATTAAAACCAAAATACCAAATAATAGTTTTTCTTTAAAAAAAAAGACCATAGGTCGATTAAATCAAGTGGCCAAAGACCAACCAAATGAACATTTTTTTTTTAAAAAAAAAGAACCACAACCACAAGGTAGGTGTCGTCACTATATATCCTTTTCTACAGCTACGCAAGAGCTGCCGTGGAAAGCAGCGAGCCGTATGCGTCAGAAATGACCGTGCTTTTCCTAGCGTCGAAACCACCACTAGACTCCAGTGCAAGCGCAGCGAAAAGAATACGCAGAATTTTCACGCTGGGCGTGGACGGTGGATCGGTGTCTCACCTGGTCAAGCAGGATGTTGGAGGCCTTGAAGTCCCGGTAGATCACCGGCGTGTCCGCGTCGTGGAGGAAGGCGAGGCCCCTGGCCGCGCCGACGGCGATCTTCATCCTCCTCATCCATGGCATGGAGCCGTCGAGACCTGCACGCACGCAGTTGGCACGACGCTTCGTCAAACCAAGCTATTCTGAATAAATACTGTATGATTATACTGCTTGGCTAACCACTCTACTTAATTTCATCATTAACTGCAGACCGTGCCACTAGCAAAAGTTAACGATGGAGACAACAGACACGTGAATTTTGTGCTGTAGGAGTCGGAGTACTCACTTCTGAAGAGGTGCTTCTCGAGGCTCTGGTTGCTCATGTACTCGTACACCAGCATCCGGTGCTCATCCTCGTAGCAGTACCCGACGAGCTTGACCAGGTTGTCGTGCCGGAGCTGGCCGAGGAAGAAGACCTCGGTGAGCCACTCGCGGTGGCCCTGCGTGCCGGTGCCGTCGAGGTCGAGGTCGAGGTACTTGACGGCCACCTGCTGCGCGTCCAGCCCTTTGCGCAGGCTGGCGTCGACGCGGCCGCTGTAGACGGGGCCGAACCCGCCGGATCCCAGGTAGTTGGCGCGGGAGAACCCCGCGGTGACGGCCCTCAGCTCGGCGTAGGTGAAGGCGTGCAGGTTGGAGCCCGACAGCGTCAGCGACAGGTCCTCGGGCGTCAGCGTCCCCGCCGACGAGCCCAGGCTCGACAGCGACACCCGCGACGCCGACGTCGAGGACGGCAGCAGCAGGAGCCGCTCCCCCCGGTCCCTCCTGCGGCTGCGGCTGCCCCTCCGCCGCGGCGGCGGCGACGGCCCGTCGTCCTCGCCCGAAACCGCCGCGCCGCCGCTCACGCAGCAGAGCAGCGACCTCCACGGCTGCGTCGTCGCAGACATCGCGTGGTACGCCGATCGGCAGCTCCAGGAACCACCTACCGGAGGCAAATGCGCTTTGATTGCTTGCTTGCTTTGCTTGCGGCTGTGGAGGGATCGGTGTCGGGAAGGGAAGGACTAGAACTAGACGAGAGCTGAGACAGCACGCGCGGCTAGTGGCGTATATATAGCGGCAGCGGCGAGGTCCAGGCGTGCGGCGTCCGAAGTCCTAACGAAACGGGCCGGGGCGTCCCCCCTGCCTGTGCCTTGGCCTTGTCGCGGGGCGCAAAGCAGAAAAAAACCACGGGGCTGCGACTGCGGAAACGGCGGCAGAACCCGGGCAAAACCGCTGTTCGCTCGAACCTCTCTTCTCGAAGGAAGCGGAGTGGTTGAGTTGTTGGCCCCCTCCCCTCCCCTGCTTTTGGACCCGGCGGACGGACACGGGCACGGGCTGGGTGGCTGGGTGAAATCTGCCGCCGCGGACGCCTGCCTCGTCGTCCCGCCGGTTTGGGAGCCACGCCCGACGGCCCGAGGGGAGGGGTGGGGGTGGGTACGGGTTCGGCCGCTGCGATGCGACGATTACGCGACGCTGACCGGTGAACGCAGACGCAGCTCGCAGCGCGCGCGCGCGCCACGTTTTTTATCCCTCGGCGTTACGTGACGCCGATGAGCAGGACGGGGGATCATATCCGAGGTTGCATATAACGAAATCACGCGTGGTATATGCCCCGGGGGATTTTTTTGTACCCATGAGCATTGAGCAAGTAAAGTAAAATAAAGCGAGTGCGCAGACCATGTGAGAAATCTGCACGAGTATTTTATTTTGTTAATCAATGTTCAAGTAGCTTTCTTGCTGGTGCTCCCTCCTCTTTCTCTTGTTTCCGTTATTAGGGGTGGCCCGAGGTTGCTATGACTAATCCTCTGTTTCGGCAGGAAATGTAGCTGTACAAGCCTAGAAGCTATAGCTAAGCTACGGACACCGTTAGCTAGCTTTATCTAGCAGCTAGCGGCTAGCGGCTAGCGGCTAGCGGCTAGCGGCTAGCAGCGCATCAGATTCCTGCAGAGATCTTGCACCAACTTCTTGCAGACGGCGCACGACGATCCTTCCACCCTCTCTCTTCATGGACGACATCTCTCAATAATGCCGTGCGGACAGGCAGGCAGAGGGTTGCACGTACGCCCCGATGAGCAGCCTGGCTGTCTGAACCTTCCCCGGCTGTAACGTATCCACGGGATGTCATCTCCGAACATTACCTAAAATATCAGGCTCATTTCACATTTAGGTAGCGCTATAGATAAAGGGTTTTATATTTATTTTTGGTCTTCTTTAACAACAAGATCCAAAAGATAACTCTTTCTGTAAATGAGCCTCCAAAAGAGAGGTTATGTCTTTGCTGCCGTAGATCCATTTTAGGTTTGGGTGGAACATCCATCGGAGACAGAGGGTTCTGGATATGCATGGCGCAGCGCCATGTCTTCGGTTGCACTGGCACCTCAATTATGGTTGTTCGTGGAACACGACTGGGAGCCTTGGCAAGAATCGTGGCCTCGAGATTAGCTGCTGGCAAATCAGGACTCAGCGCAGCTGTCGTGTTTATCAGTTTCGATTGGAATCTGAATTTTTTTTTCCACGGGTAGACTTGTGATGGAGTAGCTCCCTGCCTGTCTATTGGGGTTGGGGTTGGACTTGGGAGGCCACAGCTCACACGGTTGCGTTGCCGGTGCCCTGTTCTTTTTTCTTATAATCCATTTTTTTCAGCTTGTTTTTTAGTCGGGACAGTGTTTTTCTCTCCCAACAAATTAGTTGGAACAGTATTTCGGTTTATTTTTTCAGCGAAGCGAACGCCACAAGAATGTAACCCTGTGGGGATCAGATTTTTCCTACCCCATCCATGACATGCCAATAAAGAAAATGGAGACCCTAATGTTCCCCGTGGTTCTCATCATCAGATTATTCTAGTAGCAGCTCCGATCCGTAATCCGTGCCATCCTGCATCTTGCACCGTAGGATTAGTTTACTAGTAAGTACGTACCGTCTGAATGAGTTCCGACTGCATGCGAAGGGGAAAAAACGAAGCAACCGAGGTCGTTCGTTCTTAGGGGACAAGAAACAAGGTGTGACGGAAATGGAAGGAACACCTCTGATCCGTGACGAATGAATCAGTGTTGAACATTCTGCCGTGATGACGATCGCGCATGCAGTTGAAGCATCAACGTTCGGTTTCGACTTTCGACTCCTTGTCAAATGAACTCTCCCTCTCTTGTTTTTTTAAGTAAGTGATGCGGAATCAGGAAAGTATCGATCTGGTGTGAGCTGACATTTTACCCTCTCTTTTGGGAAGTGGTTCAAACGTTTTGTGCGCAATTGGGTGGTAAACAATACACCTACGCTGAGGACTGAGAGGGTCTTCCGATGCCCGCAAATTGGAAAAGGAATAAAAACACACTGTGGGTCTTTGAGCTTGGTTCGGAATGGTTTTTAGGTACTTAAATTTCCAAAATGGGCATCTAGATTTCTAAACTTATTGTTGTCATATGAGACCCCGATCATCAAAATTTAGTCAATCCGCCTACGTGGCATGTTGATTGCACGATAACATGCCACCAAAATATGTGTGCCCAACCCACGTGCCGGGCCTCATCTCTCTAGCCTACGGGCATGTGGGCTCCACATGTGAGTGCCATGTCATCATACAATCGGAATGCCACATAGACAGATTAACTCAAGTTATGGTGATTTAAATCTCGCATGACACGATTATATTTTTTGGGGGATTGAAGGAGGATATGCTAGAGTGTATATTTGGTTTCAGCACTGGCACTCTCAAGACACACTTACGCGGTCAGTCAGCGTTCCAAACAGCCAAGCTCGGGCGTAGCAAATGGCAAGACGGTTCACTGTTCCTGGCCTTTGGATTAGGCTTAGGGCACGTTTAGTTCGAGAAAATTTTTGGGTTTGGCTACTGTAGCACTTTCATTTATATTTGGCAATTAGTGTCTAATTATGAACTAATTAGGTTCGAAAGTTTCGTCTCACGATTTCTCACCCAACTGTGCAATTAGTTTTTTTTCGTCTATATTTAATGCTCCATGCATGCGTCCAAAAAATCGATGTGATGGACAAAAACCAAATTTTTTTGAACTAAACGCGCCCTTAGCCCCTCATAAAAAACCAAAGCTGTTACTAGCAGTACATGTAATGCATCCAGGGTTTAAGATTGGTGTTTCAAATATGCCTCTCCAGTCTCCGCGACCGAATTATTCATCATTACAAGGAATTTTTTGCTCCCGAAGAAAGCATAAATAAATCAGCGACAGTGCAGTCAAGATGCCCGAGGCGACCAGCAGCCTGCTCGCCCGGCCTAGGCCCTAGGCGCACGCATTTTCTCGGGGGCTGCCGCTGCCCTGCGCCTGGCAATCATAGGGCCATGGGGGGTCACGCTCACGCGGACCGCGCGCCGATCGGGCCGGCTCGAGAGCGGAAAGCGACGCCACGCCGCCTCTGACCCCGACGCCCCATCCAGCAGGCGAGCACGCATCCGCCATCCGCCATCCGCCTCCGCCTCCGCCTCCGCCTCCGCCCGCGCCTCGTGCTGGGGTTTGCGTTTGCCGCGCGGCGCGCCGCGAAAAAACGTGCCGAAAATGGCTGTGTTTCGATGACCGCGACCCTGTTTTGCGGTCCCGTAGCCTCGGCGCGCACACCAACCCAAGTGGCGCGGTCACGACCAAATCCAAATTTATAGGCTTTTGGGAGCATCCATACTAGGGCCTTGTTTAGATGACATCAAAGTTCCAAGTTTTTTCACTCTCTTTCTCTATCACATCAATTTTTGGATACATGCATGGAGCATTAAATATAGGTAAAAAAAGTAACTAATTGTACAGTTTGGTTGTAAATCACGAGACGAATCTTTTGAGCCTAGTTAGTCCATGATCGGACAAAATTTGTCAAATACAAATAAAACGTGCTACAGTATCCGGATTACAAAAAATTGCCAATCTAAACATGGCCTAGCACTACTCACGCCGCATGCATGCCACTGCTACTACAACATTCCCTTTTCAACCTTTCGACAAACAGAACTTTCTGGAATACTAGCCTTCCAATTCAACCAGGGACAATGATAAAAAAAATCAACAACAACCAGGGACACCGTTTTGTTTTTTTTCCTTTGTTTATAGATAATGGAAGCACGTCTCTTCTAATTTGCACCACAAAACGAACGCCCCGTTCGCTTGGGCTTGTTTGGCTGATAAATTATGGCTGAAAGTACTGTTGGCTGATTTGGTATGAAAGAAAAATACTGTTCGTTGACTGAAAAAATACGTCTTATAAGCCAAATAAGCCCAAACGAACATGGTAGAAATACACGCAACCATCTCTATCGCAGTCGACAAGGAGAAATCCTGAGCCATAACGCCATCTAGCAAGCACGATAAACACGCGGTAGCAGCTAGCGGAGTATATTTGGACCCAGTGATAATATAACTAACCGTCGACAACGAAATCAAATAGTATGTATCAAAATCAGTGTTATCCTAAACATTAAACGGTAAACAGTCGGTTACCCACCGTTTAGCCAATTATTCGGCAAAACGGGTGTTTAAACGAAAAAAACGGCCGTTTAAACGGTTAAAACCACCTATTAAACGGAAACGGTATACCACCGTTTAGCGTATAAACGGTGTGTAAAAGGGCTAAACAGTCGTTTAGGCGAACAGCGATCGAAATGAACAGTGATCGAAATACATACGTACATACACTACTCTTATATATACTCCGTATATGAAAAACGTTGGAAATAAAATGCTGATGCAACGATTCTTTAAAAAAAATGTTGATGCAACGACCGTGATGGCTAAGCTGTATGAGACTGGGTATGAACATGATGATTAGGGTGCATGCATGAACATGACAGGGCCGTATGTAGCTAGCTCTCTGCGCACGAATTATGTTGATATGGAGATATTCCAATTTGGGACCTTCGTTCTCGACTAGTGACGTACGGGGGGCGATGATCGCC